GCTCAGTTGGAAGAGCATGTGACTCTTGATCTTGGGGTTGAGTTAAGGTTCCAGGTTGGGTGTAGAGATTACATAATACATACGCACATGCATATATACGTATAAACTAATTTTAAATTAATTAACTAACTTAAAAAGAAAGATTTGTTTAGGCATCAGACATGCCAGGCACATCATTAAAAAAAGATTTGTAGGACTCCTATCATATATCAGAGTCTTAGCTAGGCATTTCATAAACTCATTCAATCTCTACAGTATTCATGTACAGTAGATGATGTTATCCTTTACTTGTGGATGGAAAGACTGAGGCCCAGAAAGAAAAATAATCTTTCCCAAGTTCACACAGCTGATAAGGTAAAAGCATGCCTCAAAATCAAGTCAGTCTGATTCTAGAACTCCATTGTCTTTACATTGTGCATTTTTTCAAAATCTTGCAAAATCTTAACTATAAACTTTCCAATTTAACCTATTCATCTTAAATTGCTGTAATATTTGGCCCAATAATAAATAGTAATGATCTATGGAACCAGATAGATAGATGGATAGATGGATCCAGGGTTTTATATATTCATTTTTTTAATTAAGGTGGTTTGAAGGAAGCAGGTGAATCAATAATTGAGAGATCTTATAGGGGACAGGAAGTATTGAAGTGGTAATCTCATGCCTGACAGATTGGGTGCCTAAGAGATTCTTGTCAGTGGATAGTATTGCCAGAGAAACTTCACCTGTGTGGATGTTTAATTTGCTGTGTTGTAGATCTTGTTTTGCATGCTATGAAATGTAGGAAATTGTCTTTAAGTATATTAGGGTCAAAGAGAGCATTTTCTAGGGCTCCCTCTGTTGGCTTCCTGTTAGATACCTAGTTGCCAGAATTGTACTGGTACTAATGATGTAAATAAATTTAGGAAAGAAGTTAATTTCAAGGTACATTAGAAACAGAGGAGATTGATGTTTGTAGCAAATGCAAATAGAAAAATAGAGAAAGGGTTATTTAAGTGTACTTATTTTAGAATTCAAATTTGGCTATTGAATTTCTTTTGAGTAATGGGAAAGAATAGTTCTAATGTTATTAGAAACTCCATTTCAAATAGTGGTAAAACTTTATACTTGGAGGGTGGCATGGCAAGCATCAGTGTGTGGGATCAACTTTCTAAGTTGGTGATGACATTACAAAAGTACTATCTTTGTCCCTTTTTAACTGAAAGATAAACTTTTGGCAGCCTCAGTGGAGAAGTCTGAAATTGATCAATGGACTGGTTGGTTTCTAGAAAAAAAAGTCATTTGGAAACATTCAGATTCAGAGAATCAGAGGATTAGACGAGGACCTTATTAAGTGAGAAACGCCACAGCGAAGGGTCTCCAGGGGTCTATGCTAATTATCCTCTTTTCACACTTGAGGCATTTCACACCTAATTGCTAGGCACCTAATAGGCATTTCACACCTAGTAGATCATGACTCTCCCAGCTAGCTGTGACTTGACCTCCCTTTTCTTCTCATAATAACTCCAGACTGCCACTGTTTTCCTTACAGAGTTGCCTTTTGAAGAGAAATCTGTCTGCCACTTCGAGTTCTAGACATTTTACTTGGTAACATGTAGAATATAAAATATCCTTCATTTAAGAAAACTGAGTATAAAGAAGCTAAACGAGTTTGTGCTGATTATTTTCATAAGAGCTAACACTTGTAAATAATAAAACCCTTTGATATTTAATCAACTTGTTTAATTTACAAAAATGACGTAGTCCCAAATTTGCAAGAGAATTTACAGAAAGCAAGATTAAACAGTTTTAGTAAATTAAAACATGGAGCCATCTTTATAATGGACAACTTTTGTACTGTGACAAATGAAGAAGACCTAGTTTTACTTCTTCAGAAGCAGTGATAGTATAATTTGGTTTTACCTAAAAGGTAACATTAGTCCAAAAAGGAATGAATGTATCATTAAGCAAATATTAAATTTCCTTAATCCAAGAAGTCTGGTATTAGAGGAACATATTCTGGATTCCTTCCTGGGTTCCATTTTGAAAGCAGTAAAATTTGTTACTGTATAGATAACTGCAGATTTGTGTGTGGATGAATGAGTGCATCTATTATTTGCATAACTTCAGAATTGACTGTTGACTGTTAGAACTGTTGGGAGTGTTACAGATAATCGGCCTGCAAATATCCATGCAAACCTCGTTTTCAAAGGATAGTTTTGACAGTATAAAATAATATCACTCTGAATAAAAAGTCCTTAAAACATTATGAACATATTTTAGAGGAAATACAAAGTGGATTGTATTAACTTTTTGCTGTTTTGTCATACTATATTACTATTGCCAGCTACTAATATTTTTATTACTGTAAATTTAGAAAATTTAATAATTTTAGTCCATTTCAAGTTTGGTATGCTAACTAACCATTTGAATTGTTGAGAATCTAAGTAATCTTAATCTTCCATTTAAAGTCCTGTATAAGTCCGGCTCCACTGTTTTTTTCCAGTCTCCTTATTGGACTAATGTTATAAGATATACTTTTGAGTTTAACCTCTGCCACGAGCCAACTATAGGACCATAGGCAAGTCACAGGATGGTTTCTTCACCTGCAAATAAAAGAATTGCACAAAATCTGTGGGTTTAGCATTTTATTTGGAGAAACCCTTTGAGAATCTAATGAAAGCCGTGGATCTTTATACCCGGAAAACTGCTGATTACTACAAAATGTTGCATATAATTTCAGGAGCTGCAGTGCTCCCTGAAGCTATCCACACAGACCTCAGTTTAAGATCCCCTGGATTAGAAGTTTTGTGATTTTCAAAATCTATAATTCTATATTTCTGTCCCACACCATTCTGTTGTCTAGCTATACTATATTATGATCCCCATTTTTTCAGACTCCTGGATATTTACTCATTTCAACTTTCAGATGTCCTTTTTATCCCCTTACCTATCTCAACTTTAAAACCCTCTATTTTTTTTATAAGTGG